TACCTGTTTTCCTTCCTCTGGTTGTCCATTAAGTTGAACACTAAACAGCATGAAGAGATGCTAACTGGTCATTCTTTGTCATGCACAGTAACTGTGCTAAGAAATTCACTGAAACAGAAGACTTTTAACAGCTGACTTCTTCAGGATTGCTTTTTACCTCAAGAGCCTAGTAATTCCCAGCTGACTTGCTCTTTAATTCTGTTTCCTAATTAAAAGAAATTCTCATTAATTTAGTAACTCTTGTTCGTGTTATTATATAGGATGCGATATGGGCTACAAACAGTCTTAGTTCCTCCCCAGCCCATCTGCATTTTCTTTTTCCCCATGAAAAAACAGGGGTTGGAAGATAGAGGCTGCTGCCCGCTTGCTCCGTAACATTGGCTTTACCATCTGTCACCAACCACAAGGTAGTAATAATAATAATATTTTAAAAGCTCAAAAAGGTAACTGTAAGAATAAGGACCACCTTTTCTTATTCAGGGCAAGTGTTTAATGCGCAGGTTTAGCGCAGAGGAACAAAACTTTGTTTCACTGAAGTCAGTGACCTCTACTTTCAGAGGCACTTCTAGTTTCTACACCAATTAGAGAACAGGATGGTATGCAGATTCACTCTTATCAGTTATACAACAGCACTGTAAAAAAAATATGCAACACCATGTTCTCTCTTTGTCACATTTTTAGAAAAAATACATGGGTTTTCTTTTTATTCCAAAGGTTAACAAGCTCCAGTGAGACTTTTATAAATACGAAAAATATGCTTGCAATTTTGCACACCGATTAGAGGTTTTTTTAATGATGTGTTCTAAATAAACTTCAAAAATCCTGAATTACAGCTACTGACTGCTACTGCTGCTTCAGCTGCTTATTCCTTACACCTTTGTTCCTATCTGCAAAACCAAGGCCAAATTCTGTCTGAGGGCTGTATTTGGCTTACCTCCACTCAGTACTCATTACATGTAAATGCTCGAGTGTTGTTTTGTACAGTCATTCTTGCTGTGAATACTGAAAATAATTCCCAAGGTGCATGCCCATGTTAACAATGACAGGAGGTGCTAGTTTGTAGCAAAACTGCTTCAAAGATGGGAGCACAGTTAGAATTCTTAACAAGGAGAACGTTACACACCTGAAAAATGCAATTCCATGGCTTTCTACCAGTCAGTACCTCTTCTGATTTCCTGGGTAAGTCAGCTCTCCTACAGGTATACGTTTTAACACTATGCAATCTTTGTGCATCTCGTCACACAATTCCCTTAAGGCTTAGCTAACAACACCAATTCTAGCTAGGTTTGGTTGGCCCAGATTTCCACGACAAGTATGACAGAATATTGTTTTAACAAATCTTTCTTGCACATGCAGAAAGCCTACTGTGTTTTCGAGGTGTCACTGAAGATGTCTATACAAAAAAACTTGCAATGTGAGTCTTAAGACACCTGAAAAATAAAAATAAAGCTCATTTCAGCAGTCTCTAGACTAGAAATCTCAGGCTGCCAGACGGAAGTACTTTAACATTAGTTCCCCCATATCTTATCAGCATTATACTGTATTATTCTACCTCAAACACTGGTTTTTGTCTTGGCGTCAGAGACCACTTAGTTTGAAGATGAAGGAAAGCATATTCTTTCCTCTTCTTTCCTCCCAACAGAGTTTCTTAGGATATCTTAACAGTTCAACAACTTTCAAATGGGATAGAAGCTACTAAGGAAACGTGCTTTTTAAAAATGTCTTTTCTTTTTTCAAGGTTTGACTAAGCCACTTAATTACCCTTCCTCTTGTTCAGAAAAGCACCTGCACTGGAGCCTCTGGCCAAAGCTTGCTACTAGAGAAAGCAAAGTGAATCCTGCAAAGTAAGTTTGTGAAGGTACCATGTGTAAAATAAGTATTTCTTTTTTACACACATAAAATACTAACAGCATAAATTTAATATAAATGTTAATTCAAGTACAGAAGTCAAACACACGATTTCAACATTAAAAATTACAACACTTGAAACAACTACTATGTAGCTAATACAAATGCAAATAAAATTAAACTGCTGTAACTGCACCTAAATTAACACCAAAAAAGACAGTTTAATATTATGAAGCAAGTTGAACTAAAATATGTAATGGACCACAATAGTAGACTGCTTTTAAGAAAACTGTTTAACTTTAAATCTTTCCATTGCATCGTTTTCTGTCTACATAATATTCCTTTTTGACAAACGCTTTTCAGACAAAACAGCTTACAACCAATACTTGCACAGGTGAGGCCCTGAGACTCTTAGCATATGCCACTTGGCCTATTCCTTGACCAGGAACTGAAACTGTATACCAAATTCAAAAAGAAGGATGAGCTACACTATTAGCTTCAGATTTTAAAAAAAGAAAGAGCAAATGTCTTTATTTTTTGTCATTCATAAATAAAGCACTTTACTGAGAAATGCTAGTCACAATAAAAACAAAGATGGCTCACTCAAAATGAATTACATATACCCGATTTAAAAAATTGAAAACTATTTTCAGTTTAATACTAAACAATGTTTTTTAGGAAGAACATGGCCTGATTAGAAAGTGAGCAAGCTGCTGTTCTACCACAGGCAGGCTGGTTATGAGGGATAGAACGGATAAGAGTACGGCCTCTGTGAACACAGAAGTGCACACGTGTCCCAGCAGAGAAGTGCAAATAACAGGAAATGCAACTTGGTGAGCTGCATATAAAAGTACATGTGATTTCTATGTGTCAAGATTACTTTTTTGCCCATTTTTGTCTCAAAGAATTATCTAAGGTACTGAACCTCAGTGTTACAACTACAGCAGTGTATCTCGTGTAGCCTGATGGTACGCTGACACAAAGCTCTTCAAAATATCACTCCTCCATTGATGTAGTGCTACAATGCTATAAAATTTTGCATCAAGTTACAGAAACAAATATGAGTGTGGTATTTAAGTTTCATATTGTGTATGTTCATGTATGAAAAGGCAGGGTTGCCAGGGTTGTATATTTTTTGGTTTGGGTTTTTTTTTTGCGTTCGTTGTTGTTTGGGTTTTTTTTAATGTTTGCTAAAGATTTAATACAACAGAAGCTATAAAAATTCTCAACTCACATGAGTAGGAATTGTAGCAAATTATTTCAACACTAAAAGTAAGTAACTTGTATAAACTGTTACAGATAATAAAAATCTTTTAAACAAATGATCTTTTCAAAACAAATAATCAAGCGACCCAAAACAATTATTTAACATTCATTTTCACTAATCTTTAAAGTGAAACATTAAATACACACATGTGGTTTGAAGAATTATTAATCAATAAACATGTAATGTGAATTATACGTAATGTAATTATGAATCAATGTGGTGTTTTTTTTTCTTTCGTAGCAAGATCCAAAGCAACAAATTCCGAAATACTCTTCTTCGGGGCAATTCAAGGGTGTACAGTTGGCTGCAGAAAAAGAGGGGAATGGGGGGAAGAAAGAGACTTTTAATTTCAGCACACATATTGCATTATCTATTCCAAGATGGACTTAACTATTAAGTAACTTAAAAATATTGTGTAATGAAAGCATTCAGAGTCTTATGCTAATGCTCCATTCCTCTCTTTCTTCTGCCCCCCTTAATACTATCTCAAATCATTAACAAATTATTTAGTCAGTTCAAGCAATATCAGAGAGGACGTTGTGGAAAAAAGAGAAACAAAAAATAAGAACTTAGTAATCTCAGGGTTTTTTTCCTAAAACCCTTATACTTTATAAAAAAAAAACACCACACCAAAACATTCTTTGGTACTGAACGTAAGTATTTTCTCAGCCTATATACACATATATATTTAACCAAACTTTACAATAATGACCCTTTGTTTCACTTCCACTGAACACAAAATATAATGAGGACAACTCTAACATGCACATGAGATCACTGTTCTGAGTTGTACTAACGTGTTACAGATACCACACGTATCATAGCAGTCGCCTTTCATACTGTGCGTTTAACACTTTAGCTCGGAGTGTGCTAAGTGAAGCACCAAGTTCTGCCAGCCATACACCACATGAACAAAATCCCACTACACTGGGCTCATCAGTGCACTAGAAAAGGGCACTAAATTCAGTCCTGTTTTGAAGCAACTGCCTCCACCGAGGTCAGTCAAGTTGTTCCACAGATAAACACAGTCCAACACTGTTGTAGCTTTCTTACTTATTTTTCTTCAACTTCTTGTACACAGGCCCAGATGTAAAAATTTATGTTCCCTGCCCATAAGCAGCAGCAACAGAAAAATAACTGAATCTTCAGGAAAAATCCTGGATGAGTAAGATTAGAAACTTCCAGCAGTAAAGTTAACATCTAGCATGGATTTAATGCTATTTTCAAACTGCATTATAAGCTTTTAAAAACCAATCTCACGATACTCAGAGAGTATGGTAATCCCCATTTTAAAGAAATGAAAGAGGCCTCAGAAGTGACAGATATCCACACTTAAAGTCATCCACAACAGCATATTTGAAAAAAGAGAACATTTACCCTTGTAGCATAAAATACAGAAAGTTAAACTTTCTGCAAATAACACTTTCTGCGAATCAGAGGAGGAGACATTAGTCCTTTCCTTTTACAAGAAACTGACTACCCAAAGAAATAGTCAGACTCACCAGCATAGTAACAACTTGACTTCTGAATATAAATTTAAACCCAAGCTGGAAATGCAAATAATTCAGAAATGACTGAAAAATGACTCAGTCATTGTAGGAGTAAAAACCATAACCTTCATTTGTGCTGCACAATTCACGTGAACATCAGACTGGGTGATCCATCAGCAGATCTACAGCCGTAGAGCTATGGTCTCCTCTGGGAAAAAAAAAACCTGCACAGAATATCTCTGCAAGCCTTCTTGGAGTTATGTATGTGGGGAAATAACCTTGAGACCAGTTTCTCTAACAAAAGCCCAAACAGTGCTGCTAAGACAATGTCTATGAGGGGGTAAAAACCTGCACCAAATACAATCCCAGGAGATGCACTCACCTCTACTATTCCACTATGCTGCATTCAGGGACAGCAAAGTTATATATGCTTGCTCAGGGGCTGTGATAAAAACCATTACATGTAAGTAATCTGACAAATATTTAAGACATCTAAATTCATAGTGTTAAGCAACATCTTATACTACATTCGGAGCCTTTCTAAAAATCAGTAAAAAACAAAACAAACAACAAACAAATCACTAATCACCACTTATCATCTGTATTTGCTAAACAAACCCAGCAATTTCTGTATTTTTTTTTAAATATCTTACATTTTGTACCAGGCTGTTGCTTGTTCCAACAGCAATATAGTTAATTTTGATAAAACAAACCAAGACAATGTTGAAGTAAAGAAAATTCCTGCAAGAAACAGTAAAATAAAAACATTTCACTTGAAGTTTAGTGTCCAAAATCTAGGACAACAGCCTACTGATACGTTTGTTTCGAGACCCAGATGCTCAGCACAGACTCTTGAACTAGCCTATACATGTTTTACCTTTGACTTGTAAATTGCTACTGCATACAGTATTTAAGAAGCTTAAACAAGTGAATTCACAATAATAAGATATAATGCTTGCTCCACCCATTTCAGTACCATTTAATATACACATTCTATGTGGTGAACTTGAATTAAACTGTTATTTACATGCTACAGTTAGTTATTAAAATGCTTTTCCTCGATTCTAAGACTCATCAGTTTATTTTTCTTTTAAATACTTTGTTAAATACTTTTAAATACTCCCTTCTACCTAAAAATTAATTTCTTAAATTGTGTCTCAGTGAGATGCCACATGAAATAGCATGTCTGAATGAACAAAGAATACCCTATCATGGAATACATGTCTAAAGCCTGGCATATCCCTGAAACTGAGGAAACTACTGAAACTTCTTCCCTTCTTCCCCATCACCCTTAAGTCTAACTCAGTAG